CCCCCCCCCCGAGACGGGCGCTTCCAAGTTTCTGCTTTGACGGTCAGGGAGAGCCGTAGCCATGTCGGGAGACGAGGTGAGGACAGAGATGCGCCCAGGCCTGGGGGTGGCGTGAGGCTGGGGCTGTGGCCGCCGCCATGTGAGGAGCCGGGCCTGAGGCCTGTCCGCACCCCGATCAGGAGCCCGGTTGAATTAGCTTCCTTGAGCAAAAGCAGCTCCCTTCTCCCGGTCTGTGATACATATTGGAGATAGGCTTATTTTCCCCTGAACGGCTTTGAGGAACTTCTCCTTTGTCCTTGGTCGCTTTTTTTTTTTTTTTTTTTTGCTACCCTGTGAAGTAAGGAAGCCATCCTCGATCACCCTTCCCGCCTTACGCCAAACCGAGTTAATTCCAAACGCCCCCGCCAACCCCCCCCCCACCCGCGGTTTGAGAAAGCAGGAAAGTTTCATATTTTTTTTAAAAGCCGCTGTTTTAAAAAGGCAATAGCAACAAACGATAGACATGGTTGCGGATGCGTCTAAATGTGCTTTGAATGGAGGAGAGCGTCTTAACTACTATAGTGGCCTGCTGAATGGCAGGCCTATGTTTATTTTTGCGTAGAGAGTGGCTCGGAAATCTTCGGTTTTAGGGGTCAAATCTGAAAGGATCCCTATTAGTTTGCTGCTCCAGTGGCCCGATTTGGAGTCTTATTAAAAACGTCTCGATTTTGTAATAACTGAAGCGCTTGCTTTCAGATTCAATAGAAGACTTATTCCTATGCTTGCTAGCACTCTGGGGGTCTCTTTTCGTTTTATTCCAGGGTTGTTAACAATATTTTTTTCAAATCTCTAGAAGGAGCATCAGAAACCTCTCACATAACATATCAAGAAGAACTTGTGAATCCACTAGGCTTGGGTGGCCAATACATTTAAATTAATAACGAAATAATTTGGAGCTCCCTAGAACTTTGCATGGTCAGAATAATCCTATTTATTCCGCCAGAGTTCTCTGATGATTCCAAAAGGTCAATGGATACCTGAGCAAAAAAAACCAGGGACAGTTTTTGCTTGCCTTTCATATTAAGCAGTGGGGAGACCAGTTTTGGAGAGGGAAAATTGTTTTATCTTTCAGCCCTTGAGAAGTTCTGGGCAATACAGAATATGAGTTTGTAATAGGTTAGATACAGTGGTTCTCAACCTGTGGGTTGGGACCCCATTTGGGGTCGATCGACCATTTCACGGGGGTCACCAAGCAAGGCTGTCCGCCTTTTTTTGTCCATTTTTTTCCCCTTTTCCAGCGGGTGCCTTACCTCCCTTGGGCTGGGCCAGCTGGTGGTCGGCCTGCTCCGTCTCTGCCGCTTGCCACCTACGCCTCGGCCAGCGCAGGGGCCGGAACCACGCATGCGCGGCGCTCCTGGGCAGGGAAAGTCCTCGACTTACGACCGGTTGGGTAGTCCTCGACTTACGACCGGTTTAGTCCTCGACTTACGACCGGTTTAGTCCTCGACTTACGACCGGTTGGGGTCGCGGCATTAAAAAGGTTAAGAACCGCTGGGTTAGAATATAGTATTCATTTGAACAGACATCTACATTATTTATAAAACTGATGTTGTCAAACTTTATGGTACTGCTACTTCATAAAATGATAAATTAACATATGCTTTGCTGTGAATTGAACTAATAATTTCAGATTTCGATTTGGCGAAAAATAAATACACCACTTTTGATAATTAAAATTTAATCTGCACGTCACAAACTTTGCTACTACTACTTTTCACTGAAGGTAAGGCCCATAAAGCAAAAATGAAATTTGGCAGTTGGTTTGCCTAAGCAAGTTTGATTAGGTAAAAATGAGCATCCTCTAAATTACTTCCAGACCCCTAGAATAAGCTATGATTGAACTGTCAGTTCATATTGTCAGCTCCCAGTTGTAATACACTGATTTATTGAAATTATGCATGATTGGTTTCTGATTCAGTTTGGTTGATGGAATGATTCATTTTTAAGGTCCCTCTTTTTAGTAGAAACACTGTAATTTTTGACTCAAAAAGATTTTAGTGCAATACTTGGAAAACAGATAAAATATGTTTTTTTAGGAATAATTATGAAGAAGTATTACCTGCAGACGGGTGAAAAACAATCTAGATTTCCAGATATTTAGAACTTTTCCATTTTCCATAAAAATGATTTAATAATAGGAAAATATCAGTTTTACTGGTGCAGTTAAGATGGCTATAAATTTATTAGTTTAATTTTTTCAGTCTTTTAATAATATGGTTTGTGCCAGCATGTCAGTATAGATCTGTGTTCCATATAATGATGAACTTAATCTTATTTGAAATATGAATTCAGGAATAGATTCTTCTCATGTTTTTTTCCCTTTTTTCTTTTACAAATGCTTGATGGCATATGAATCATAAGTCCAAAATGTATAAATTTGGTTTCCTAGTTATAATATTTTAGAATTGTAGTAAAGACTGGCCTCATACAGCTTAATAATTTCTCACCAGCCAAAAGAAATGTAATTTTATCTTGGTATAGCAAAGTACTTTACATTACACAAAAATGTAATTGTGTTGTACCAGCCAAAGGTAATTAATGTATGGGTATTTTGTGTTTTCTCCTGCCTGTAGCCTTCATGCCCCCTTAATTGCTTTAAAAAGTCTAGCAGTTGAAACAACATTGGGACATGTGAAGAATTCCTTTGTTCTACATTTCTAGCAGCTCAATTTATTGACTGGCTCTTTGGATATTTGTTCTCCTATCATGACCATTGTTGAAATAATTAGGATAGGTTTAATTTATGTATGATGAAAAAATATAGACATATCTCTTCAGAACTGCAGATATTTCAATAGTAATACTTTAACATAGATATAAAAGAAACATTAGATCAGGGACACTCATTCTGATGCCTATGGCTATTTGATGTTAACCAGATTAATCATCTACTTACCTTTTAACAGATGGTTTTAATTTTAAAAAATCAAAAGACTGGAATACAAGAGAGTGCTAGCCTCCAGCTTCCTTTCTGAGAAAAAAGTAATTTTGTGATAGCTGCATCAACATGACCAACATTTTGAGAGATCCAGCCAAATTCTCTCAATATTACATTTACCATGTTTCCTTGAAAGTAAGACCTACCCTGAAAATAAGCCCTAGTTTTGGGGCAAGGCACATGTCTAAAAATTAAGCTGAGATGGAAGGGTGGAGCTTACCATTGCAGCCAGGCCTCTCATAGAGCGACACTTGCCTTGCTTCGCTGGCCCACTTCTTCTGCGGCGGAAGGAGCAGCTTCATTCTGCGGCTGAGAATGGAGCACCATCCAGCCTGCATTTCGCAGGCAGAGGCCTTTCCGGAAGGCCTTTGCAGCTGAGAATTGAGCTATGGATTCAATCTGTAACTTGGTTCTCGGCTGCATAGGCCTTTCTGACTCTGAAATGCAGGCCGGAGCTCCATTCTCAGCTGCAGAATGAAGCTGCTCCTTCAGCTGCAGAAGAAGTGGACTGGCTGGGTGGGGCTGTTGCTGCTGCCGCTGCGAGATGAGTGGAAAAGACATTCCCCCAAAATAAGACCTGGTATCTCTTTTGGAGGCAAAAAAAAAAAAAAAAAAGACCAGGTCTTATTTTGGGGGAAACATGGTATGCCCCTTGATTTTGGATAAGTTCCTATCTCTGCATTAAGTGGACAATTAAAATGGAAAGAATTTAATGAACTACTATTTAACTGATGATATTTCAGATAGTCTTTGGTTTCTGTTCTCTACAAAAAAGAATATAACTAGTTTCTAATATTAAATGCATTCAAAGATAGGGTTTCTTGTCTTTAAATATAAATTAATATGTTTGTATGTTTGGAGATGCCTTTTAAAGAATGATTACTTTCTGTATAGTCCTGTATAACCAGTTAGTATAGTGTGATTCCATTATACTACTACTACTCTCAGATGTAGAGCACTATAATTACACTTTTAATAGACTATGATATTCATAAACAAAACTTTGTTTTCTCTATGGGTATCTGAAAAATGGATAGATCTAGATTGGTTTGTCAGAAATATATTTTTCTAGCAGAAAATCCCACTTCATTCAGTGTAATTACTGTAAAATAAATATGCAGATTGCAGTTTTCAGCTAGAATGCACAAGACTTGGGTTGCCATCAACATTTGACCTGAATTTTTGGAATAATGTCCAGAATAAGTTTGGTGAGGGAAGTCGTCCATAATATCAGATTCTTCTTATTCTACAGAATTCACAACTACAGTAGTTTTGTGGTTATATAAACAGTTTGATAATTGATTTGAAGGTGCCGTTTATTTTCAGATTAATGATTTAGTGTGAGAAGCACAAATTACCACCTAATACCTCAATACCAGATGTTGCTATTCCTTCTGGAACTTAGTAATGGGTGCCTAAAAAAAGCTACATATGTTTTGGTGGAATTGTTGAAACTAGTAGATCTTTAAATTGCTGGGAAACCAATTTTGGTGGGTTGGATTGTGTAGAATATTTCACAGTTTAAATTATTTTTTTTCTGTTTTACCCACATTACGTTTTTAGTTATTTCCTAATGTACTTTGTACAGCTTTGTAGAGATTTTATTTGATAAACTTTCTATTACATTGTGTTTGATAATAAATGTTTATATTTATATGTACTTATAAATCAGAGGGGTATTTTTATGTTGCAAATTTGTGTTAAGAAAATACTGTTGTTTCTTGCAGATGATCTTCGACCCTACTATGAGCAAAAAGAAGAAGAAGAAAAAGAAGCCTTTTATGCTTGATGAAGAAGGTGGTGATGCACAAACAGAAGAGACACAACTATTAGAAACAAAAGAAGTAGAGCCAGAACCAGCAGAAGACAAAGATATAGAAGCTGATGAAGAGGACAGCAGAAAGAAAGGTAAACTAGAAATCTAGTTTTCTGTTTCTTTTTTATTTTTCTAGGTGTGACATTTAATTTGTGCTCTTTTAAAGCTTTCCAGAGAAGTCCATATGTTAAGCAGCAGAATGCTTAATAAAATGTTTGGAAAATGCATTCAGACTTTGCTCACTGGTTGGCTGTAAACACGAACACGTTTGTTGGTTTGACTTTCAGGGAGAGGATGGATGGTCATTTAAAAAACAACTGACTTACGGTATTGCATTGTATGTCTCCAAACATCCTGAAATATACAGGCTGAAGCACACCTATCTCATACAGCTGTAATTTGATGGTTTGCTTTGTTTCATATATATATATTAATATATATATATATATATATGAAACAATATATATTAAACAGATTGCCAGCTAAGTTCTTTGGTCCATTACTATGAATCAGCCAACTGTTAACATTTTAGAATTGAACTCTTATTTACATTTTTGTATTTCATGATAAATGTTTATGAGAAATTAAGTTGAAGTAGCTTTAGCCAGCAAGATGGATGGCATATACATTTAATAAATAAATAAAAATAATTGTTTTTATGTTATTGTCTGGCTTTGCAATATTTACATTTTTCTCTCTGACTTATTACTGTTAAGGCCAATAAGGCATTGAAGTAAATATTGTAAATGCAAAGATTTAGTGGTAAGCATCCTGAAAAAATATAGACTGTCATGTTTATACTGGGAACTAATTCTTATAGCTTGATTCTCAGTTATTACATCCTGAGTTATCAAGATCTACTGGATATAATGTGTAAAAGTCTAAATCAATGTTTTATACACGATTGAAATAGTCTAAATTAGTTTTTCATTTTTCTCATTCTATTATTGAAGTTGTCTTGACTTCATTGTAACAAGTTTGCTTACATTTCTTGATAAATATATTCAGGCATGTTTCTTCCATACTCAAATCATAAAGTAATCTGAATGTTAGTAATGTACTGCCTTTCAATTTCAGATGCATCAAATGATTTAGATGACTTAACCTTCTTTAATCAGAAGAAAAAGAAGAAAAAAACAAAAAAGATATTTGATATTGATGAAGCTGAAGAGGGACTGAAGGTAAGTTGACATAGGGTTAAAGGGCACATTTGTTTCATCATCTTACTAAATTAAGATTTAGATTCCCCCCCATCCCCAAAATAACTGTCTATACTATGCTCTCACCTTAAAAGAGGAAAAAACTTGTTACTGTATATTATCTAAAAAAGCCAAATTATATCAAAGACATTTTAATACATCCCCATGACTTTTGCTTTGTAGGTGACTTCTGTTTGAATTAGTTGATTATTGTCATGATCAACAGAGAGATGCATATTTTGAATTATTGTACATTATGCTTGCTGCTTGTATCGTTAAATGTTGTTTATCTTGCTCTCCTTCCCTGGCCTCCCAATTGTTCTCAAGGACCTAAAAATTGAAGGTGATGTGCAAGAAACAGTAGAACCAGAAGATGACCTTGATATCATGTTAGGAAAGAAGAAGAAAAGAAAGACGGCAAAGTTTACAGATGAGGATGAAGTATTAGATAAAGATGAAGGTAACTTTTTTAGTGGTGTCTGTTGCTATTGGTCAAAGTTGGTAACATTGAAGGTTGGTACACAAAGTGTAGCTATATTTTAATCTGATAATCAGGGCAGAAGACAAGCTATTGTAGCTATTAGCATTCAGTCAAATGCTGCAGTGGTGTAGAAGAAGTTTTGTAGTGTAACTGTCCAATATAACATTGACCATCTACACTGATTTTATTGTACAGGGTGCAACAGTGTCTTCTACATTGCCATTAGCCACAGCTATTTTAATTTCAGAGGGCAAAGGAGAAGTTGTGAATCCAATAACTGAGTGCTTCAATGAGACGCTAAGCTCTCTAATTTCTAGCTATGCAGCCATTTTCACTCCTTGTTCTCTTTGGTTCTGATCTTCATGTCTCTCCCATTTGCCTTTTCAAAATCCAAGATAGTACTTGAAAATATTTGAACGGTGTGGGGACAATTTTAGAGCAACATAATTCAGTATGGGTATTCCAATAAATCTGTGATTTATGGTTTTCCATTTTCAAAAACATCTTAAATAGCATTGTAAATCAGCACACAATATATGTCATTAACCATCAGTTTCATAGCTGTAATCAACATATTATCTTTGAAAAGCTCAGATCTCATACCTCTGTACTCATCCAGACACAGTGGGCACAAGTAACATTCTTAAATTCAAACACGTATTAAATTTCATTTGATAAAGGATAGGGATATTTTCTATTTGAATTTTTTTGGAAACTTCTAGCACAGGGGTGTCAAACTCACAATGTCACGTGACGTGTCGTGATGTATCGTGACTTTTTCTCCATTGCTGGCAATGGGGTGGGCGCAGTTTCAGCATGACACATCCGGCCCGCGGGCTGGCAGTTTGACACCCCTGTTCTAGCATTACTGAAATTCCACTTCTGTGGAAAGAAAGAAAAGATAAATTTGTCTTTCCAAATGCTATGCCTCACCTTATTCTTAATGCTATTTGGATTAACTTTCCCTTTCCCCCCTAGTATCTCCTCATTTAACAAAGGGTCTAATGTAGAAGGTTCTGGCTGAAAAATATATGTATACATGTCACATAAAAATATTCTGTGCACATTGTGGAATAGAAATTGATTGGGTCTGAAATGATATTTGTAATTCTGCAGCATTGGAGGATGATGACAGCAAAAAAGATGATGGAATCTCTTTTAGCTCTCTGTTAGGACCTGCATGGGCAGGCTCGGAAAGGGATTACACATATGATGAGGTAAATATTTTTCACACCTTTTAACTAATTCATCTATTGGTCTTTTATTATAATCTCTGGGGAGCATAATATAAACTGAGTTTGGATTTATACCAAAATGAAGAGAAATAGAGCTTTGTTATTATCTTAGATTGAATTTTTTATTCTGTCTCAGGATTATGGAATAATGAGTAGAACATACATATTTTAAATAAATAAAGCACTTTGTAGAGAAGATGAACTTTTTTTTTAATCTTACTATTCTGACTTTTAATTCAGAGAAAATGTCATGCTTTTTTCCCAGGTAAATAAATTCAATAAAACATGACTATGTACTAGTATTAATTTGTGTTAATTAATCATTAGTATTAATTGATTTTTGATATTTTCTTTATCCCTGCAGTTGCTGAATCGTGTATTTAACATCATGAGGGAAAAAAATCCTGATATGGTAGCCGGTGAAAAAAGAAAATTTGTTATGAAACCTCCCCAGGTTGTAAGAGTAGGAACAAAGAAAACATCATTTGTTAACTTCACAGATATCTGTAAACTGTAAGTTTGATTACATTGCAGTTTGGGACAGGAATTAGTAAAAGTAGGGGTCATGGAATTGTGTTATCAGTATTGTTCAGTTATAAACTGAGTTTACATAGACAACAGTTAATTCATCTCAAGGGCAGATAGTATCATATTCTGAAACGACTGTTGCAAGTGTACCTGATTCATTAGATCAGGGGTGTCAAACTGCCGGCCCACGGGGCAGTTTCATCATACCGGAGCCGCGTCCACCCCATTGCCGGCAATGGGAAAAAAGCTCCGATACGTTGCGCGACGTCATGTGACGTCACGAGTTTGACATGCCTGCATTAGATGATCAACTGGGAATTCTTTTTAACCAATCTAGTGAAGTGAATATGGTTTATCAGCTTTTGTGAAATTTCTGTTCATTTGTGCTAGGGAAATTCCTAGTGAAGTTGGGCTAATATTTGGAAGTGTTTTAGAACCACCAGAGTAATGATTAATTAAGCGGAATAATAATAAACTAATATAAAACAATAGTCACCAGAAAATATTGATTCCTTAGGTGTTTATTACCGACATGCTTACAGTTTTCCTTCAGACCTCTAGTCCGAACACCTAAAGCTTGGGAGTGTCAAGATATAATGAGATTGGAATTGAGGCTAGCTTGCATACAAACATTTAGTTAAATGTTTGCGTAGTGAATTCAGCAAAATACATAAGGGCATGGGATTATTTTGAAATAAATTTATGTATATGTACAGATTGTAATGTCGAGCAAAATATTTTTATATAGGTAGTCCTTGACTTACGATGGATTTGCCAAAATCTACTTACAACTTCATCCCAAAGTTGTGCCTGTTGCAGCGCCCCTGCAGTCACTCTTACGATTCAGTGCAGGGAAGCTGCAGTGTCCCCCATTTCCCCACTGGTCCCCACAAGCCTAGCACACCATTTGGGTGCACACCTTCCTCCTCACTTACTTTTCAAAGACCTCTGAAGCTTGATTAAAGAAGGAGGACAGACCACTCCATTGCTGGGCCACGTGGCATGATCCTGAAAGAGGCTCCCATTTTCCACATTGAATTGTGGTCTCTCAGAAAATGGCTTCTTTCAGGATTGCACCCCATGTGACCCAGTAATGAAGCGGCTTGCTATTATCCCCTAACATGAGCTGTGCAGTATTTTTGCCACGTTTTGTCTATCCATGCTGGGAACTTGGGTTAGGGAAGCATAGCAAGTCGCTTCGTTGCTGCCTGCGTGTCATGATCTGGAAGCAGCTGCCATTTTCTAAGTGGTCACATTGAATTGTAGCTACTCAGAAAAATGGTTGCTCCCAGGATTATGTGCCCCAGCAACAGACTTGCTTTGCTTCCCTAATCTGAACTGTGCACGACGGGTGACGTGGGGTGATGAGAAGGGTGTGGGGCCTGGTAGGGTGGTAAGTAGGCCCAAGGCCTGTTGGGACCTCAAGGGACGGAAAGCAGAACATGGTTGCCTTGGGATGAGGAGAAACCTCAAAGGACTTGGGGCATGAACTGTACTAGACTTCCCAGGGCTTCCCCTATCCTCAGTTTAATGAGCTGTGCATTCATTTAACAATTGCATCAGACAGAGCAGGGGTGAAGGGTTCTAAGTGAGGTGATCATGTGCTTAATGGCTATCACAATTTCTGACAATAGTGACCATAATCACTATTTAGAATAGCTGGATGTTTTTATAGAATACCTGCAATGGTACTGGCATAAGGTGTTTAGTTTTGGCTTATTCTGAGATAGAAATCTATTCATTGTAATTTGTAAACTGTACTTAGTTTCTTGGGATGACATTTCAAACATTTAAAGCCCCAGACAATTCAGTTCTGGCTTATTGTTGTGTAAATCATTTACTGAAAGTCTTGATCTTGTTCATGTGAAACTTCACTGCAAACAATTTTCTTTAAATAAACAAAATGTGCTATTGTAACTTATGTTACATTGCCATATCTGATATTAGATAAGTGTGTCATTTTGCTGTCTGTTTATGAACAAATTTAATATTATGTTCCCCTTGAAGTTATTATCTTATCTGGTGGCATAAGTTAATTCCTTTTCACTTACTCCTATTTTATCTTCTTCAAATATCCTAAAAAGACATTAGCTCTGCTAAGAAAATGAATTTCAACTATTTGTATTGGCAGATGTAAGTATGCTAAGTACTTGTTATTTTATTAACTAGATAAACTTCCTTACTTTTAGATTACATCGTCAACCTAAACATCTCCTGGCTTTTTTGCTGGCAGAATTGGGTACAAGGTAAGTACTTCAAACTTAGTCTTTTCTGTGATATTTATTCTTCATGAATATTTCTGAACTTTTGATAGTAGCCTCTGTACAAAGATTATGACATCTCTTCAGCAAGTTGACTGCTTTAAAAATAACTGTTGATGTAAGTAAAATTGGTTTAAGTCACTTGTGCTTCAATGATTATATAATGTTATAGAATTTAATGTACAATTTGTAGATTTTGTATTTTTAATAAAGCTATGCAAATTCAGGTGGAACTTTTGTTTCAGCCAAGTGCCACCTGTCAAAACAACTGTGCCTTCCTAAAGATTTAGTGCTACTGCTTTGATGAATTCTTGACAAGAAGTTTCTTTTCCACATGCTTATCTACATACAAAAACCTGGGAAAACCTTCAGATTTGGGTGCACCAAATGTTCAAGGGTGGAAATCTAAAGGAGACCTTTATATTAGAAATACCTATTTCTGATAAGCTATGCTTTTTAAAAAAATTGAACTTTAGGAAATGGATTTTTTTCAACAGCTTCCCTTCATATAGCTATTTGCACATTAGAATCTCCATATTTAAATGCTGAAATAGTCAAATTTCACGAGAGAAAGGAATACGCCAAATAACCAGTTACCTTTGTTCATGCAAAGTTAAAAATTCATCACATAAAGTGATTGCATACAAAAGTCGAATACAATTCCTGCTATAGGCTTTTCTCACACCACTTTAAAAAGTTCTGATTCCCACTCTTGGCTCTAAATGTTCACTTTAGTTGACGTTGTCTGGCATAGACAATGTCCTTCTAGAGCCTACTATTTATTAATTTAAGCTCCTTTTTGCAGTGTGGTATTAGTTGTGGTCAAGCAGAGGCTGACTATTTAATGTTACAGTTTTTCCTTAGTGTGTGTATGTGTAACAGGAGTCTGTGACCGAGAAGTTCAAAATAATAAAGGAATTATAACTTGAAGTTGTATCTTTCTACATATGCAAAATATTTCCATACACAATACTGATAAACATACATGTGTATATAATATGTATTCAAACTTTTGAAAAGTATAACCATTTCTTGTGATGTGGCCTGAGGGAAAAGTTTAAAGAAAAAAGATCTTTGCTTTAACTTATAAGTTATAGAACAGACATGTCAAACACAAGGCCCGGGGGCCGGATGCGGCCCGCGAAGTGTTTTCATGTGGCCCGCGAAGCCATCCTGAAAACAGTGAGGGAACGGCCCCCGCTGCCTTGGCCCTGGTCCAGGCCGGCCGGGAGCCAATGTACAATTTTGTGGTGGCCATCTATGCTGAAACGCATTCAGTCTTAGCTCCACAAGGCGTCTAGAAACAGCGAGGAACGAGCCCCTGCCGTATCGGCCCCGCCCCCTGGGTGCATACTGGGGAAGTGTCACCCTTTGTGAGGAATGAAGAAATGGACCATGCCTTGGTGCTTGCCCCGGTCCCATCCCCTTCTGCCAGAGACCCTCAGATCTGTCCCACTCCTGCCCAGGCCCCCACAGGCACCCTTGACGCGAACTATGTAGAGCTGGCCATGCCCATCCAGTAGGCCACACCCACTCCATCCACGCCCACCCAGTAGGCTGCACCCACCCTGGCCACACCCACCTGCCCCCCCCCCGAGAGAAACCGCAATGCTGATGCGGCCCTCAATGAAATTGAGTTTGACACGCCTGTTATAGACGCTTTCTGATCAGGAACCCAGATTAACTTGAATACCACTTCTAACTTTCAAAAATTTTGTACGCCTTTAATTATCAGTCAACAACCTTCTGCTACGGTAGCACTATTGATCTCCATTCTCAGTTTGCAATGGCCACTTTTTTTTGCTTCAGCCTACAATGTGGGGATAAGAAAGATACACAGATGTTGCATATATTCTCTTATTATTCAGTTCCATTTCTATTATTGATCCTGTCCTCAGAATACTGTTTCTTCTGTTGTGTTATTTTTCCCTAGAAGGTAACACATGTCTACAAAATTTTCTTTTAGCTGTTTTAGAACATAGCCCCCCTCCCTAAGCATTTAAAAGAAAATTGCTATTGTATTTCCACAAAAGCTACAGGATGTGCCGGGTATTTGTGTGTTTGTGTATGCATGCTCTTCAGCCAGTCTTGACTCCTGGGCAAGTCCTTGCAGTTTTTGTGGCCATATCTTTGTAAGTAGTTTGCCATTGCCTGCTTCCTAGGGCTATGAGAGAATGACTGGCCCAGAGTCATCCAACTGGCTTCATGCCCAGGGCAGGACTAGAAGTCATAGTTTTCTAATTTCTGTTTTGTGCCTTTAACCGCTACATTAAACTGACATTATATTTTTGTGTAGCCCTAGCAACCCATCAACCCTTAGGAATGAGTTTAGCTTGAACATCTGATAAAAGATGGCAGTAAATGGAGAGCCTTTGAACAAAGATTTGCATATACTGTGGTGAGCATTTTGGAAGCCCTGAAGCCTCTGTTTCATTGAAAATATGTGATTCTAATTTTAATACCTTTATTTAGTGGTTCAATAGATGGCAACAACCAACTTGTAATCAAAGGAAGATTCCAACAAAAACAGATAGAAAATGTCTTGAGAAGATATATCAGTAAGTGTATTCTATCATTTCAGATTTACACTTGCTTCAAGTAAAGTGTTTAATCTTGCTTCTTACATAACTATTAGTAGTGCTAAAATTGCCACCTTGTAATTTCATTAAAATCTTCTGAAACTATTATATTTTTGCTGGTTGTCAAAAAGAAAAAAGTGCTACAGTTCAACCAGAAGGGTCACTTTATGGAATCACCTGCTCTATCTTTGATGAGGTGAAGGCATATAGAACAATTATAACTGAATATTTGGATAGTCATGTTTGTATGGGAAAATGCAAATCCTTGGTCTTTTGGTTATATACTAAAAATTATTCATTCTGGTTTTAGTTGATGTAACAGTATTTTTTGTTTCCATGAGATAATATGGAAACAAATGAGGTAACAATTGAATTGTATTGAAGTGTATAAAAGTTATGTGGTTATTTCCACGTTTTATTGTCAGCTGCTTATTAAAAGATTATAAAGGTACACTATTAAGGATCTCAGACATCTCCAATACAGAGGACTGAATAATGGGACATTGAAAAGAAAATCTGGCGGATCATTTAGAATGCTTATTTTGTTTGGTACTACTTATTTTATACAGTATGGACCAGTGATATAAACTTAGTAATGAAGAAAGCTAATAGAATGGTTAGATTTTAGGTCCTGAATATATGTTCAGATACATGTTAACAGTGAGCCATATTGATTTTTCCTTTCACAATTCTGTGTTAGATTGAAAAAAGTTGGCTGATAATACAGTTGTGACTTTTGAATCTGCCAAAGCCAAAAGTCATTCTCCCATCTTGTAAGCTGCTTGCAAGACATTCTGCTTTTGTGTGATAAATAGGTACATGCAGTAAATGGGCAGAAAAAATATATATTTTTAAGGGGTGTTACCTTGCAATGAAAGAGATAAATACTCTGTTTACTAATTTATATTTTATAGTCTAGTTCACGGGTGTCAAACTTGCAACATCACATGACGTGTCGTGACGTATCACGACTTCCCATTGCCAGCAATGGGGTGGGCGTGGTTTTGGCGTGACGCATCTGGCAGTTTGACACCCCTGGTCTAGTTAGTTTGCAGTTGGATTCAGAAATTACTCTACCTGGTTATTTAAATGATAAGTGCATAGTGGATGAAAATGTGTTCACTATTTGTTTATAATTTCTTATTGCTAATATAACTTGTTTAATTGTTCCCACAGAGGAATATGTCACCTGTCATACATGTCGGTCACCAGACACAATCTTGCAGAAGGACACCAGATTATATTTTTTGCAGTGTGAGACTTGCCATTCGCGCTGTTCTGTTGCCAGCATTAAAACTGGTTTCCAGGCTGTCACAGGCAAGAGAGCGCAGCTCCGTGCCAAAGCTAACTAGTTGGCTGGTTGACCCTGAATTTTTGCGAAGTGATCTGGGTGCAAATGGCTGGACAGGCTTACAACCTGAGTGGATTGCCGATGTATTAAAAACAAGATAGTAAAAGCTGCTTTGCTTTGGGTTGGTCTGTGAGATTCTTGCGAGATCAGATCCTCAAGCTGTTGACATTTGCTAACTGAATATTTTACCAACTGTCAAGTGATGAGAAAGGAGGTGCTTTTTAATCTGTTCATAGAATTCTGTAAAATGCAAGAGAAATTAAAGTTATTATAACAGTGACTCTTTCATTTGAATTTTTTGGTTTCTCTGTTAACAGTAGTATGAATACATGCAAGCGTCATGGCCAATTGTGTTATAAAAACATTTGTTGTCCTAATTAAGTGTATTGTAAAAGCAAATGGGCACAGTTGAATTAATGTAATGGAACATATCATAGAACATTAAATCACAAATAGGTTCTCCCTGTTGAATATCTCCACGCATATAAGAATTTCATCATCTGGTTACAAGGGACAAATCCCACAAATAAATGTGAGATTTGTATTAATTGGGTTTAGGTTAGCTGTCTGTAGCCAGCTTTCCTTTGCATTTTGGTGTTCACTTTAATCTGTGCATTAGGATGGTCTTAATAAAAATTATTAAAATATAACATATCAAGATGCCATATTAATGCATGTAAGTTTGGGAAAACATTGCAGTGTAAATGCACATTATCATTGCCATAATCTATTTAGAGTTTTTGTAATGCTAGCTTTCAGTACTGTACTAAAAAAGTTAAATTGTAAAAATGAATTATGTATGTATCACCCATTTAAATGAAAACAAGTTAGAAAAAGTTAGTGCGGCTATTAAAACTTAAATAATCTTACATCTTTCCTCCCAGCACTGTACTTTCAGTTTTTGGAAAGGATAACTAGTGTATGTTCTTCCTATCCGAGTATTCACCAATTTCAGGACTGACCCAGAAACTAAGCTGTCAGAAAGCTTGGTGATCTTTATGCAGTAGTTGGTATCCATTTTATCAGTTTATTCAGGCCTTAAAGCAGAGTTATTTAAGAAGGTTGTTGTATTCATTGGGATCTTTCAAAAGAGACTTTGGATAAATTAGTACAGTAATGGACTACAAGGACCTGTGGCCTTAGGATTTGGGATTTCTGACCAAGGACGTGGGAATAGAAATAAGTGGACATCTTTTCAATTAAGTATTATGAAGATAATCTTTATTGGGGCTGATGCTTAACAGATTTGATGGTGACACCAGTTATTTAGACTGATATAAACAAAAGGGCTCATACAAGCAAGTGTCTGCATTGGATAAATTGGAATTTAAATGGCAAATACTATTTTTTTCCACAAAATATAGGGTTATGTAAGGAAAGGCAATAAGTAAAATCATAATTAGTTATTTTTTAATTTTTTTTGTTCATGTTAGCTGCCTAGAATTGCGGATGCAGAATAGGTGGCCATATAAGCTGTTTAAATACTTAATGTATGGAATGAGGATTTACCTGGTGAATACTAAAAGTGAATCTTGATGTGGTAGGTATATGTGTAAAAATTACTTTCCTTCTGTGAAGAAGACATGAAATAATTAGAAAAGAGATTGCAATAAAAGTAATACCTATCATTATTTGCAAATACTGTGTATGTGTCTAGTTAAAGAATTATAGAATATGGAATGAACCAGTGAATTTGAAAGCGGGAAGAAAAGTATACTCATAGTACATAGTATTCATCACTACCAAATATGATGCAGACTGCCAAATTGATGTTTAAAGTTAAACCCATCGAGCAGGCAGTTTTTATGACAATTACATGACCTCACCAGGGTCAACTGGACAGGAATTTTGCCTCATATCCTGTGTTTAAAATTCCTCAGTTATCCAATGAGGCAAATTGGGCTGGATTACATAATACTTCAATATGATCCAGCAGGATCCTATATTTCTTTGCTTGCTTGGAGATTTTAAAAAATGTGATGCTTTTGAATTTAAAACTCTAAAACATTTGCAAAGTTTAAGGAAGAGTGCCTTTTCACTACTGTTTCAAGATTTCTGACTTCTCATAACCCTTGTTATTAATATTGAAAGGTATTTGGTTAATGGGTGTGATACTTTAATTGAAGTTGAATCTAGAATCTTTGTTTTGGAATTGTAATTTGTATGTAAATTGACATGCAACTGAGTTTGCCAGGAAATTAATTTTTATATTTTCTGCAAAGGTTTTTTGAGAATAGAAAAGTCTAAAGTCGGTCTTTTTTAATGACTTAAATAGAATCTGAGCTGTAATGAATGTTGGATGTACCTTATAAATTGAATAAAGTCAGGATCAGTGACTCTTGTATAATTTTCCAAATTTGTGGTTGTTTTCACGGGATGCTTTTGCAGATTTAACCAGCATTAGTTATGCCTTCTCTTTCTTATTGTTCAATTATTTAAATAGAAAAATATAACACCAATATTATTTGAAGCCTTTTGGATAAAACAGACTTCTTAGGATTGTTTGAAAGTTCATAATGAAGGGTCATCCTCATCTCTGAAGAGAGAATGTTCCAGATGGCAGGAGCTGTAGCAGAGAAGGCAAGTCTCCTGGTCCCTGCCAGCTGACAATCTTTGGTATACCTGTTATAGGCCCAACCTGCCTGATCAAATTGGACATGTAGAAACAACTGGGGGAAGTCTATCCTTTAGGTAATCCAGCCCAAGCCATGAAGGGCTTTAAAGGTGATAACTAGCACTTTTGGGTCCAGTCGCTGTATGAATGGAAAATTGTCAGATAATTTTGAGCTATGTTAATCTTAGTTGAGATCCTATAATACTTAACTCCTGTAGTGTTTGCCATCTCTCATTAGTTGGGAAAATTCACCAGCAGCTATGGTGCTCCAAATACTACCATTCTAAATCTCTGATCATAGGCTGATGGGTGGTTTGTCCTAGCTGACATCTGAATAGTGACATCTGAATAGTTAATTCATACCTTATGGAATGCTAACTAGAAAAGTTTCAGGGAATACGGTAAAGGCAAAAAAAGCTTTGATTCAAGATTACCTTGTGTGTAAGGTAAGCATTGTGTTCTCAATTTCTGAATTCAGATAAGGACAAGGAAATTCAAAAATACACGGCTCTTTGGGTCTTGGTCCTAAATACTAGTTAACATAAGTAAAGTATGGTTTAAAGTTTAAAATATCACAGCATTTAACATCTACGTATTGGAGAAACAACTAATTTTTTTCACTGTCTCATTTGAAAAATTAGAAAAAGTATGTAGGATTCTGTGGGTACATGCACATTAGCAAATCTAGTCATGGAATTATACTTAAATGTGAAGCAACAAAGCTACTTTATGGGTTCCTGCCTGCTAAACATTTTGACTCACCTTTTATTCTGGCACTTGTAACATTCTGAACGCCAGGATAATCATTTATAGTTGTAAGGTATAGTTGGTGCTTCAAGTAACTACAATATAACAGTGAAGCGTTTGAGTCTAAAGCAGCCTTTAAAAAAATAAATAAACGAATCTACCTCTATTCCAAGCATTTAAATATCTGCTATTTCCTAAGAAGCTGGTACTATTTTTTTTGTTTTACAATAAAATGTTCTCAAAATTGAGCTTTTATCGTTATGTTCTTTGGATAGACTGTACGTGGATTTATTGCCACCAATGAGCTCATCTTCAGATCTGTGTTACCAGCATGCCTCCCTTACTCCCATTATAAGCTGACCAGAGTCCCCTTGAAGGGCGAGAGCATATGAAATTAATAACTAAAATGCCTCACAAACCATTCTTAAAAGCCATATTCATGAGGATACATCATCTCCATTGCATTGCAGACACCTTATGTTTGTCTTGAGCTAGTCTGACATTCAGGTAACATTTTTCATCTGACACAAGTCTTCCCACACGATTTTGCTATTGATGCTTCATTATTGAGTGGAAATATGGAGCAGAACACACACAGGTCCTCACAAATGTGTCTCCCTAAAGGGCTCAGTAGAAAACTGCCCAGTGAAGCAGGAGCCTCTGGTTTACCTAGAAGTCCTACCTGCATCGCATATATTCTACTGTGACTGCTGCAGTTATTTTTCAGTGTGGGGGTAGGGTTGGTATTTTTACTATGATGTGGATAAGCTGAAAACCTAGTGGAACCCTGTTGGTATCTACCAGGCTCCCCTGATGATATTTTCTTTGTGATTATCTGCACCCACAATGGCAACATGTATAAATCATAGCAGCCATACATTGTTCATAATCTAAGTGGCTTTGGGGAATAGTTCTGAGATTCAACTGTGAGCAAATGTTTGTGAACCTTTTAGAAATATTTGTAATCCTGCAGAACTAATCTGTGGTGTGATCAGGGCTTCTAAGTTTTTTAATAGTAAATGTCTTAATGTGTATCATGTCTTTATTGAATATATTAAGCCAACATTCACCTTTCTTGTAAAAATGTATAAGAAATTGTGGGATTAATAACAGGGTGAATTGAGATAGTTATTCGAATTTATGAGGTGATAATCAGGGATGGATTTAAAAAGTCTTCCTCTTTAAAAGTCTAGACCAGGGGTTCTCAACCTTGGCAACTTTAAGACTTGTGGACTTCAACTCCCAGAATTCCTCAGCCAGCAAAGCTGGCTGAGGACTTCTGGAAGTTGAAGTCCACAAGTCTTAAAGTTGCCAAGGTTGAGAACCCCTGGTCTAGACATTAGTTCTTTCCATGGACTTGCTTTTTATTATGCAGATTTGAGGAGTGACTCATGCCTCTGCAAACATCCGAAAAAGATTTGTTGGTGCTCGGGAGGCTAGAAAGGCATTAAAATTTCCCCCTGTCTAATCACGACTGACTCAAGGGGGTGATGCTCATCTCCAATTCTCAGCCAAGGGAGTCTGCATTGTCTTGGGAGATGCCTCCGTCATCACATGGCCAGCATGAAAATAGAGAATGCAGTAATTTTCCAGTTGAAGTGATACCTATTTATCTACTTGCATTTGCATGCTTTTGAACTGCTAGGTTGGCAGGAACTAGGGCGAGAATGGGAGCTCACCCCATCGTGCAGCGTTGGGCTCTTGAACCTGGGCTGTCAGTTAGAAAACTATTATCTAAGATTTTTTGCCTCCATCACTCCATAGGAAGATAGTGGTCAAATTCAAAAATAAGTGGTCCAAAAGAAATCACTCCAGATGGGAAGATCATAAAGAATCAGGGTTATAGGAAAGGATTTGTAGGCAGTTCTTAATTATCTAAAGCAGTAGTGGCGAACCTATGACACGAGTGCCAGAGGCGGCACTCAGAGCCCTTTCTGTGGGCACGCACGCCATCGCCCCAGCCCTACCTTCCCCCGCAGCCCCCTCCTCATCAGCAGCCATCCTGGAGGAGAGTCACCCCCCAGGTGTGACCCGTGCGGAGCAGCGCAGCCAAGCACATGGCAACTGGGCAGCAGATGATGCTGCAGGGCGCAGGCAGAAGGCATGGCCACCATGGTGCTGCAGGGCCACCTGGGTGATCTGTGGTGGGCCGCAGATGGCCCTGAAGGCAGGCGGAGCAGGGCGGGGGCGGGCAGGCAGAGAGGGGGAGGGGCGGGTTTTGGCACTCGGTGTCTAAAGGGTTTGCCATCACTGATCTAAAGTCTGTATACGAGTGCACATTAGGTATAATAATGAACAATGGTGTTCATGGGAGTGTATCAAGAATAGTGTTCTCCAGCAAGCAAACTGCCACCCACCTCATTTCTGCCAACAACCACCTGGAGGGTACACCAAGCTAATGGAACAGTGTTCTGTGGACCGAGGAGACAAAAGGAGTTTTTTATGGCAATAACGAAAAATATGTGGCAAAACTGAAACTGCATTCTAATTTAAAAAAAAACCTCATCCCAACCATGAAGCATGGAACTATGATTTGGAACTCTTTTACAGCTTCAAGAACAAGAACCTCATAGTTATTGAGGGAACAATGGCTTCTGGATTCTACAGCCTGTTTGACAGGATGTCAGCACTGAAACTCCAGTGAATATGGGTTACATGGAATAGCATAACAAAGAAATGGCTGAAATAGAAAAAAAATCACATTTTGAGATTGCAGTAGCACTTGTAGCATGAAAGGATGAGGTCTCACACTTGCTTCAGAAGTATTCTGGACCTACATTTCTGAGTTGTGCCTCTGTGGCATAAAGGCTTAATAGTTACTGCTGCCACCGTTATTCTCCAGAAGAACATCTCACTTTAGTGTCTTCCCCCTGAATCAGCTATGTGAGAGTCGAGGCTCTCAGAGCCTTTGTCATTTTCTTTTCCAAATTATTTCATTCCCTTCCCCCATTTTAGTCTATATCTGTTGGTCATGTGGTTTGTGGCAGAGAAAGCAGCTTTTCTTACCTCCTCCCTTTTGGGCAGTAGACCAATCTCACAAGAAATACAATCAAATTATTTCTTTTTGAAAAAGGAATGACAAAATGCAAGCATTTTTCTACCTAAAGTATGATTAATTTCTTCTGGGTGTCACTTAGATTTCACTATGTGTAAAAAGCAGCATATGATAAAATTGAAATTTGATAGAAAAGCAAAGCAGGAGAATCCCAAAACAGCTCTGAGTATTGAATATGCTCAGTGGATGTGGGATAGTGGCTCATGTTGATAGCAGGATGAAAGAAGAAAATGAAATGTAGTAACCGGGAAAAGAATACAGCTGGTACTCTGAGCACCTATTGTGGCAGTGTCCACTTCTGGTTTGCTCTGGACGCCATTTTTAATGTAACTTAAATGAGAGCACCACAGATAGCAAAATATTCAAAGAAAATAGGCACTGGTAGTGTGAAGAGGTAGCCTGAATCCAATATATTATTTTGTAATGTATCTTATTTAAATAGCAATAACAGCAAAAAAAGATACTGGGCTTAAATCATGAATCAAGTTCTTCCTTTTATTATACAGTATTTTATGTACAAATCCCCCTCCCCCATTTCTTTTATTCTTCAGTCCTGCGGTTTGTTCATAGCAAAACAAAGTCTAGGAAGCATTTTGAAAATAGCTAGGGACACGAAAGTGACCAAACTTTGCAGGGTAAGCTAATAGAGAAGAGCCAAAAGGATAAAGAAAATAAAAAGAAAAACAATGCTTGCCTGTTTTGTAACTTGTATTTTCAACAAAGAAATTGTTGTAAATTACTGTGCTTTGTGAGATGCAATCTTCTGTTAATATGTCCTGAAGAAGAGAAGATCCTTATATCTGGTTGTATATCTTCCAGCAGAAATCCTTAGAAGGGTAGGATAAAATCCTCTGAATTTGGCCTGTATGAAAATGTGATTCTCACCCTTTCCTGACAAGTAGTTGGAGTCTGAAAGACTGGATTACCCTGCTAAGCAAACAATGCTCCATCTATTTTTGAAGTTGGCAACTAGGAATAAACCATCTTACAATATTGTACAAAGAAGAGAACCTTGAAGAAAAAAAAAGATAATGAAGGATAATACAATTTTGTAGTAGGTTTCAGTTTAATAAATCACACATGTTTCTGAGTATGAGTTGGTTGAAAGTATTTGTATTTTAGAAAAATGGTCAACAGGGAAGAAAATATATTTTTCTTCTGCACTTAGATTTCTTGTAGTTAATTGCCCTTGTTGAAACTCCTAGGATTAGCTTCTGTGAACCTTTGGTATGAAAAAGTGTAAATTATGTTTTGGAACCTTATTGGCTGCATAGCTGGGCCATAAAGTGAATATTTCATTCAAAATTCTTATGAAATGCCTGGGTCAAAATATGCATACTACTATGCTGTATGTGCCAACTTTAGCCAGTATTCCTTTCTGCTTTTATAATTATTTGCCTTCTTAATCCTTAGGAAACTGGATGGAGAATTGTTTTATTCCTGGGAACAAAGCCCCGATAACAACCATCTTCATCCTAGGTGATAGATACTAAAGGGTACATTTTCTAGTGCAACTATGCAGGAAACTGCACTGGATTAAGGCTTAAAAGCAAATGGGCCACTACGAGACAACCTGGCTTAGAAGGCATGATCCGGATTTCAAATGCAAAACCATACATCGTATATTGTGGAATTGTACTCATTGCACATGGTACCTCCTGTCTCAAGAAAGCAGACTTTCTACAGGTTGTTTCCTTTTCTACTTCTAGATGGAAATGGTCTATTCTCTTGATACAATATCTGCTTCAGTAGTGGAAGCTGGTTACAAGACCCCAGTGTAATACAATGATTTTGGGTGTGTGTATGTGTGTGTGTATGTGTGGGAATACTAATGATAGCCCATTGGGATGACTATCCTGTGTCCTACAAAATTGCTTGGAAATATTGGTCCATATGTCTCCTTTTGAATTCCAGGCAGAGAATGGCAGCCCTGTATGTCAACATTTGTCCAGCTCGATATATCAAGAAAGGTTTTAACTTCTTGTAATCCTCCCTCTTTTTGTTGTAGTGACATGCTAGGCGAAGGAAGGAGTGGGAGGAAAATAATTGGTTTACTATTTCAAATGTATATATTATTTCCTCTTTTTTTGTATGAAATGTCAAGAGCAAACATTAATAGCTTCAATGAGTAGAGAAAGTTGACAAAAATATGATTATGTAGCCAATGGCTATCAAGAGACAGAGAAAGACAGATTAACAGGTTGGTTAATCACTTGTAGGCCAAAGTTTCTTTTTGCCATCTTTTCTATAACTTCCCCTCTTCTTCCTTTTCTGTTTCTTTTCGTATCAGCAGAAAGGCAGCTGAGTTTTGGGAAAATATCAGTGGGCTGACAATATGAAAATGCAGGTAATATCCCCTCTATCAAGCATGACTGGCTGGGGAATTCTGGGAGTTGAAGTCCACAGGTCTTAAAGTTGCCACGGTTGGGGACCCTTGCCCTATATGCCTGTGGTACCTGATGTATGTTGCAGTCCATCTGTCATCCACCACCACAAAGTTATAAATAGCATGGTATAAAGTAATAAATGTTTTGTCAAGAAAGAAACCTCTCCAAAAAGGAGGAAAGAAAGTGAAACGTAAGCATGTGTTATTAAATCAGAATATGAAAATTTAAATACGTATTATTTTACATAATTCAATGGGATTTTGCTGTCGTGAATGGAATCTGCAAGTTTTAGAATATACCTAATTACTGTAGGCTGGAGTCTTCCACATATGTGAAATGGCTATTCTCCTGAAGAAGCAGAAAAGAAAGAAAAAGAAAGAAAGAAAGATTATGAAAAACAGTCCTAAAAGTATACATTTATATATATCTGCTTAAAAGTGAAGTTCTTTTAAACTAAAAGGGACTTATTCTTAAATGAAGTGTTTGTAAGAGTTTCCCTGTATCTTCTCCCTTAGGTTGACCACATAAGCATCAATAAAGAGCAGGAAATGTATCAACTCCCCAAGTATAAAAAGGATATATATTTGCATACTCTTTGGTTTATATATGCTAATTTATTCTATCTAAATAAAAATCTGGCTACAATTTTTCTCATTTTGGTAGGAATAATTACCATAATTTGGATAGAAATTCTCTATTGTAATAAGGAAACCAGATAATTACTGTGCCTGTTTATTAAATTTATGTTGATCTATTTGATATATTGATCTATTTGGCAATTTAGGGACTGTGCTTTCTTTATCTTTACATCAACGTGAATTAGGTAAGCATTTGTTTACTTAAACATTTGTAGTCTATCTGCTATTAAAAAAATTAATAAGATGGGATAAGAATAATGACTATTTTATTTATTTATATTCATAATAGGTACTGTTCATTTGGCCAATGTATATTCTGTCCCATTTCATTAATGTGATAAAATATGTGGACTGTAAATCTTGTATTTCTATGCCAAATACATAACCAAATATTTGTAACATTAAATGGCTTGGATTTGATTAAAATATATTAGTTGGGGGCACTTAAATATCTACTTTCAACTCTAATGCTTTAAATATATTTAAACAAAAGAGGAATATTATCTCAATGTACAAGTAGAGCTTCATGTTCCCAAACAACAAAAAAATATAAGAGGTAGGAAAATAGAACAATGGTCTATAGTTTGAGCTATAGGAACCTTGGACAACATCTGTGAGATCCTTTTTCTCCATCTTTTTACTGTTGTCCATTCATTTACAGGTAGTCCTATTCATTTAGCGAGCATTTGTACTTATAATCTCACTAAGTCATAAGCAACTTATGACCAGTCCTCGCACTTATGACTGTCACAGCATCCCCATGGTCAAGTGATCAAAAATTGAGCACTTGACAACCAGCATATATTTGCAATGATTGGGGTCATGTGATCATCACATGTGACTTTCCCAGACAGCTTCTGACAAGCAGAGTCAACGTGGGAAGCCGGATTTGCTGAAAACAATTGTGTGATGTAGTGCTTTGGTTAACAACTGTGGCAAAATAAGTTGCAAAATTGGACGTTCCCCAAATGAACAGGAAAGGATGTGTCCTGGCTGCAATTCATTATAATGTTGAGAGATAATTTTATCTATTAATGGTACGGGGAAAATATTACTTTCCCCTGAAGATTGAGAACTGGTATAACTGTGTAAACCCAAAATATATCATTGGGTGCAAAAACTATGATTTCCTGCTACCTCTTACCAATTCATCGTCACAATCATCCTGCACAAGGCCTTCCTCTTCTTCTTCTTCCCCATTTAACGGCTCTTCCGTATTCACATCTGCTTCTGATGCTGTGTCTTCTTGAGAAATTTCACTTTTGTTTCCATCTGCCTTTTTTCTAACTTCTGCAAAAAAGGCAAATGATAAAATATCTATGTGGCTTGAGAACCCTGTTTCGTTGGCAGGCTTTATTTGGCTTATCTCAGCATAGCTAAGTAATTAAGAATCCAAGCAGGAAACTAATTGAATTTCACCAACTGTCCCTGTATGTTGCCACATTTGGAGCATCATGAAAAATTAAAATGGCACCTGGACTCAAATGCTAAGAACATCTTATCAGAAAGAAAAAAAAATGAACGGAATATCTTCTGGAAAAAAATGTCTGCAATGAGTCCTGACAGAGCAAGGTTGCCAGGAGAAATACTACTTCATTTATTTCAGTTTTATCATTTAATAGGTGCTTATTGCAAATTATAACCTGAGATTAATATCAAAGAGTGCAGGCTTAGAGAAAATCAATCTCACAAATAATTCTTGGCTTTGTTTACATGATTTGGTTAGTGAAGTCATTAACAAATCAAATTAGTTTCATTGTGACTTAATATTTTTTGTGAATCTAGGTCATTTGATTAGTTTATGATTCAACACATTATGCAAAACCAGAAAATGGGTTAATTGAAAAAACCTTGGTGAATGCAGTCCATAAAAAAAAAAACAACTGGGCATGGTTTGGAAGCAATACAAATTATCAATTTGGGGGTTTGGACCAGATGACGAAATGAAAAAGACTTAGAATGTTTCTTTTGTTTTTCATTTTTAAATCTACTACGGCATATAGCAGGGCACAGGCAGTGATAGAAAAAATATTAAGTTGGCTTACTGTCATTTAGATGTATGAAATAGAACAAGGATGGAAAGCCTGTTAGGCTTCCAGATGCAACTAGATTGTGGCTCCCTTCAATCCATTTTACTAAGATTAATGGAAATTGGAATCTAATCTCTGGAGGACTGCAGCCTACAAATAGGGAAATGGTAGATGTTTTGGCCATGTAATCTGTTGAGCTACAGATTCCTATCCGTATCTGCGTCCTTTACTAGTACAGCTAACCAATGAAAATATATTCTCAAGGACAAAAAATCAGCAGGGGAGCCTCAGAATACTTTTATATTCAGATGGGAAGCCTGATAGTTTTTTGAAATCACAGGTTTCCAGGGGCCATTTGGTCTTGTTCTGCTATTACGATCTTTATAATATAGATGCCACCGAAATATGTCCATACTTTAGATTGCCTAGTAACAGTCACTTATATTTAATAACATTGGTGCAGTTTTACCCAATATGGTGCCTACAGACAGATTGGATTACAATTCCATTAGTCATTATCCACTTTGGCCCTTGCTGGCTGGAGGTGATGGGTGCTGCAGTTGAGGATGAACCCCCCCCCCCAAAAAACAACAACAACTGTACTAGCTCCTAGGAATGGAAACAGGGCATCATGGAGCTGTACTGTAATTGCAAAAAGTACCAAAGGTCCTTTGTCCTGAACAAAAGAAGGTCAGCCAGGACTAGGAAGCTGGCACTGACTTTCTTCACTTGAACTCCTATTGTGTCTTGGTGATATTGAGGGGTCATTTGCAATCAGCCAACTGACCTGTAGGTGCTTTCTGTTGTTCAGCAATCTGCTCCAATCTGCCCAAGAGAGCATCAATGTTGGATTTGATCTGTGTCAGCTCAGTTTTAATTGTCTGCAGTTCACTGCATTTCACTTGGAAGACAAAAGTTAGAGGAAAGCCTTATTCTTTTGTATGGTATGAATGAGCAATTTGCTTGAGCAGAGATTTAATTATACTTCACATATACCTTTTAGTTGCAGGTCCTGCTTGGCGTCCGTCACAATAAGGGCTTATTGGGTTCAGTATAGGACAGGGTCTCGTTTGCCTTTCATAGCTGAGGAGAAGACAGGAGAATTTTGGCAAGTACCATTTCTCCCATCAGAGTGCACCATCAATGGGATAAACTGTCAAAACCTAAATGCTAGTGCACAGCTACTTAAGGATATGGAAGCCCTGTGCTATATTGACTCTGGCAAGATGGTGATATTGTAGGTATCAAAGAGTTCATTTATTAATGCTTATAACGACCTCCTTCCACACTCTCCCAACTTTCGTGATGTACAAAATTTTCAACTCTTGAGTCAATAAAAAACAAAAGAGGAATCTTTCACCTCATTCCTTGAACTTTTTACAAAGAATTCCCCCTTAACTTATAATTTGCCCAGCTACTTAGAAGCTGTTGAAATGATGCTTACAGATTCACAAGCACAAATATATGCATCACATCGAAGGGGCCAATGTACCTACTCCTTTATTTAGGATTCTCCATTACATTATTTCCTTATTTTTGTGCCATCCTGTCAAGTTGATTGTGAGCTGTTGAGCAGATGCAGACTGTCTTAAATTCCACTCCCTCCCTTTTTGCCCTCTTGGATTCTGTTTAACCAACATGTTCCTTGTTTTTGCAAAACTGTATTTATCAATCCCACTGATACCTTCTTCTTGTGTCCAGATCAGCTATTTGTGCAAATGTCTGCATAAGTTAGCTCTTGCTGTAAGGTGAATGACTCCCTCAGATTCCATCCAGTCTGACATTTGCAGTACTTCCCAGCCTTCAATTTCCTATAATTTTCACTCAGTCTTCCATGTTGGCAAAGCTGAGCATACTCTTTTCACTGGAATGTTTTACTTTCTTAAGAAAGGAGGAAAGCAGTATTTTCCTATTTTCATTTCCAAAAAATCTTGGGCATGAATGATGCAGTAGAGTTCAAATGAGGTTCATTAGCTGAAGAATTAGTTCAATATTAGAACAGAGATGATAATTTGAACATCACCTTTTTTTTTGTAAAAAGCTCAGCCAAGGGCATGTATTCCTTCCGGCAGCCATTTAATCTTTTGTTTTTCTCAGTGACAGTTTGAATTTAGATGTTTCTAGCTGTAGTTACCAAACAATTGTATCTCATTGGCAACCAGTTTTTGTGGTAAAAAGCACTGACAGAACATTAGCTGAACTGTCGTGCTATGGAGACCTAGCTGGCTCATTCTATTGTGTGTTTCAAATATTTCATCTTTCACTTAAATACTTGGCTTGATGTATTTTTTTCTTTTGCTCTGTAATGAGTATGTGCTTATGTTAATGCTCCATTTATTTGTTATTATCATTGTCTATAATATATTTTTCTTGTACTCTTACAACTATTCCTTTGAGAGCAGAAAAGTATGATATTAATAAATAAAAAGCAATCATTCTCCTCTTTATATGGATTGTTTTTAGTTCACAAATCTCAACAATTTGTGAACTTGCCCATCCTGATCAAATAACCAAGTTGTCACTGATTCCATGATTAGGAGAGATAATATATACCTCCTTGAGTATGAAATATATTCCAACCTGCTTAAAGAAACAGTTCTAAGATCTTTACTAAAAAAAAACACCTTTCCTTGCCCTGGAAGGTCTCTTAATTATGAGCCACACTCAAATGTTCAATTCTTCGGCAAGGTGGATTAAGAAAGAGGTGTCCTCACAGCTTCAGATGCCTTTGGATGAAACTTACTATTTGGATCCATTTCGATTGGGTCTTTCTCTGGAAGATGGCACTAAAAATATTTTAGTCATGTTACTGGACAATCAGAAAGTTAATCAACCTAACCCTACCACTACTTACAATCTGACTCCCAGGAACATTGCTCAATTTTGGTAATGTTTTAAATCAATGTTTCTCAACCGTGGCAACTTTAAGATGTATGGGACTTTAACTCCCAGAATGCCCTAGCCAACATGCTGACTAGGGAGTTCTGGAAGTTGAAGTCCACATTTCTCAAAATTGTCAAAGTTGAAAAACACTAGCATAAGTGGGCACTTTTGCCTCTGCAGGTCTAATAAAAATACTGCTTCTCCTGCTATGAACCTACCAAGTTAGATAAGGCAGCAGGTGAGGCAGTACTTGTGAAAATGCCCTGTAATGGATTGTGAGGATAACCTTGAGGAACAGCAGGAAGTGCCACAATCCAGGCAACAATCACATAAAAAGAAAGCCAAGTCCAAAGCAGGATCTTCTGCTTCTCTAGAAAGAGAGCATTAATTGATTGATGCCAGCCCTTTGAGGTAGACCAGACTTGAACACCATAGTCATAAATACTAAAACTTTTATTATAGGATTACAGAAACAGACTCTTGCAACACTGAATGTGCCTCCCCACTTCCTACTTTGACCAAATGGAGAACTAGGGAAAATCAAGTCAGATATTTTCTCAAATTCCGTTCCTGCTTTAGACTTAGATTTTATCTTATCTGACATTGCCTTCACTGTGGCTGTTCCTCCTCTTTGTCAAGTTTATACTTATAGCTCATTACATGCCCACACTCCAGAAACTTAGCTATCTGGTTCACAGGAGGGATCTTCTTTTCTGTGGTTCCCAGATGGTGGAACACTCTCTCCAGGGAGATGTTTTTGCCTGCACCTTCCTAATATTTAGGAAAATGGCAACAATGCATTTTTCACCAAGCTTTGAAGTAATAATTGATTTAATGATAACAGTATTAATTCTGATTTTAATTGTATTGCTTTACTCTCAAGTTTTTGTTTTATTGTTATCCTGTGGTAAGGTGGGCAGTCAATACATTTAATAAATAAAAAATTGTTGTAAGCAGCCTAAGTCAAGGTAATCCTTGACTTATGACCATAATAGAGATACCCCATTATGGTTGTAACTCATGATGGTTGTAAAGCAGGTCAGTAATGTGACTGACCCAATTTCACAACATTTTTGGCAGTGGTTGTCAAGTGAAGCAGTGCTTATAAAGGAGCTGCTGAGGTCATTAAGTGAACCAATGGTTCACAACAAGTGCAGTTTTGCTGAAAAATGGAAGTAAATAGGGGTTTTGGCAAAACTGTTCATAAAACATGGTCATGTAATGGTGGAATGCTGCAAACATTCATAAATACGTCCTTGTTGAGTGCCCAAAGTTCAATGACTGGAGGGGTGTGTGTGAATGTCAGAACTTTGAAACTGGGTCATATATAGCCCCAGATAGATCCATCATAACTTCAAATGATCTACCTGCATATAAGAAGCAGCTACTGTAATAAATTCAAGAATAAAATAAAAGCAATGTTTTGTAATACATAAAATACTTATTAGTAATTATGTTTGCTATGTATGTCTGCCCTTGTGCCTTTTGTTCCAAAGGCATGTCTGAAATAGTTTTAAACATTACCTCTGCACAGTAGCATGAAACTTACATTTTAATTTGGCGGAGCTATTCACAAGAGCAGCAGATCTGGCAAAGAGCTTGACGGGGATAGTTGCTTTGACACGTCGTACTAAAGGGATGGTGACTCGTGGCCGCTTCACGGGAACCATCCTGGGTATGGGAGAGACTCTTCCACGATACTCAAAGAGTCTACACAGAAGCAGAAGAAATGCTTTCCTGTAGTGATTCCAGTCAGATACATTAGCAAATATTTCTGATCAAGAGATGAAAACCATTGATGTCCTCTAGAGGGAGCTAAAACTTCATCCATTCCAGCCATCTGTTCTTGCCTGGGCATTAAAACCCATTAGAGATTACAGCTGATCATTAAACTACTGAGGAGACACATTGTTCAACCATTATCCTGCAAGTTAATGCTGACAACTCTCAGAGAAGTTATTTAATAGGTTGCTTTAACAGCAAGATTGTTACCATTAATTCATTTTTAAAAATACTTCAATGTTTCATATTTGAGAAATCCTTAGGCAAATCTCCAGGATATTAGAACAGATCATCCAAGGCAATTATTTTGCTGTCCTATCTTAGTATCTTTCCCCCCCTCACTTGGAGCCTACTCATTCCTTAAAACAGGACACAAAACTTTTTCCTAAGATGCAGCCAATAATATTTATACTAAATTACATTCAGGCAAGAAAAAAACAATTTCTTTAACCTGTTGCATCTGGATCCTTTTCAGCCCTAATTACCAAGGTCTTTTAACAGAGCTAAAGAGGTTGAGGGGAGGAGAAGTGAAAGACCTATTGAAAAACATGTCTCACTTTGGTAGAGAGCAAACACCTGAAAGCAGACTGTAATAAAAACATATAGATCTGGACTTTGAAGCTGAACTTTAAATGCACCAAGTGCTCTTCTCAGATTCAACAGAGATTGATTTAGTAACCTCAGGGGAATTTTGTAGTTCCACCTCTATGCTCCATCTACTATTAGTTCAAAAGTTTGCTTTTTGGTCATGTAAAATAAAACCCTGCATAGTTGCATTTTTAAAAGTTAAAATAAAGTTTTTTCATGTACCTCATGGCTGCTGAAACCCTGTTTTACTGCTGCCAACTAGGCCCTTCTACTTTCTGATTTTTGAAAAAAACAAATGTTAATCTTTTGGAGACAAACTGTATTGTACAAACACTCAGGCATTTGGTTTTTCTTAGAAACGGAAAGGAAGAAACAAGACAGCCACTGGGTTTATTCAGCTGAACTCAATTCTCTAGACTGTTTGTACTGCTGCTTGCAAAGGGCGATGCAAGAGAACCCAATGGACACTGAGCATGCATGATGCTTTTAGAATGGGGCTATTGAGTGGTAAAATGACAAGACTGCTATATCTGGGCTGCAAAAAGATGGACATCCCTTTCATGACAGCAAAAAGATTTTTTTGGTAACCCTTCTGGGGTTTTGCCGCTCCAATAATCTCAATCATGACGTCCTCCGGCAGATAGCGTAGTGAAGGCAGATAGCGTAGTGAAGGAGCACTCCTGCAGCATTTCTTACAGGGCAGAGAAATGCAAACAATCAGTGGAAAGTAAATGAAGTCAAGGATTCCTCATGGACATCCATAGGATGTTAGCACTGCAGTTGAGCAGTCTCCTTAACAGAAAAAGTGTAAAATATTTCTTTAATACCACAGCTCTACATAGTACAGAAATTCAAAGCATGTGTTTTGATAATTTAATTTCCATCTTTGAATAAGAACACATCTGGAACATCTGTCTGGTAATTTGTTAGAGGAATGGAATCCTTACCATGAAAACTTTACCACATTTTGTAAAACCCTAGTAAGACCACACCTGGAATACTGCAACCAATTTTGGTCACCATACCACAAAAAAGATGTTGAGACCTTGAAAAAAGTTCAAACAAGAGCAACTAAGATGATCAAAGGCCTGGAGACTAAAACATATGAAGAACGGCTGCGGGATTTGGGTTTGGCTAGTCTAAAGAAAAGAAGAAATAGGGGTGACATGATAGTAGTATTCCAGTATTTGAGGGGCTGCCATAAAGAAGAGGGGGTCAAATTATTCTCCAAGGCATCATAGGGCAGGACAAGAAACAATGGTTGAAAACTAATCAAAGAGAGAAGCAACATTGAATTGAATTGAATTAAATTAAATCGTGGGTGCTCCATCACTGGAGGTTTTTAAGAAGAGACTAGACCAGGGGTCCCCAACTCCTGGTCCATGGAACAGTACCGGTCTGTGGCATTTCAGCAACCGGTTCGCAGAAACAAGCAAAGCCCCATCCTTGGGATGCAGGCAGCACACAAAACCACACACTCTCCAGTCTACGGAAAAAAATTTCTTCATGGACCCGGTCCCTGGTGCCCAAAAGGTTGAGGACCTCTGGACTAGACAGTCACTTATCTGAAATGGTATAGGTTCTCCTGCTTGAGTGGGGGCCTGGACTAGAAGACCTCCATGGTTCTATTCTATTCTATTCTATTCTATTCTATTCTATTCTATTCTATTCTATTCTATTCTATTCTATTCTTAATTTAACTTTCTCTAACCGTTACATTTTTATATTATATAACTTAATTTTATTTTGACAAAAGTGTATGCATTTGCATATTACAATTAGTATGTTAACATATCAGAACTATAAATTAATTAACAAGATCAAGGTTATCCTGTAATGGGATTGTAAGTAAACTGTATTAAACTCACTGGAACTTACTTCTGCACACAGTGGTTTAAAGCTTTATTTTAAAAATGTAGGTTTTGAAGTTTATATTTTCACTTTTAGCTTTGACCAATTACAGGTAGTCTTCAGCTTACAACTGCAATAGAGCCTGCTGATCATGGTTGTAAGCCTGGATGGTTGTAAATTGGGTCACCCACATGATCGACCCAATTTTATAATTTTCTTGCAGCAGTTGTCGAACGATCACCATGACATTAAGCGAATCAATGGTTTGCTATTTTTATTTGCATCTCACCTTTATTATTTTTACAAATAAGTCAAAGTGGAGAATATATCCAACATACTTTCCTCCTTCTATTTTCCCTACAATAACAATCCCTGGCCTGTCTTCTAGTCACTAGACCAAACTGGCTATAGAACAGTTTTGCTGAAAACCGGAAGTCATAAAATACAGTCACGTGACTATGGGATGCTGCAAATGGCTATAAATGTGGGCTGGTTGCCAAGCAGCCAACCTGCACTCATGTGACTGTGGGGGCTGCTCCAGTTGTCAGAACTTTGGAACCAGGTCATTAAGTATTCCCAGGGAGGCATGTTGTAACTTCAAATGTCAGTTAGCGACTGATTGTAGCTCAATGACTACCTGTATCCAATTATGGGTCATTTGGGTCTTTACATCCATAGAGTTAAAGCAATATATTTAAAAAAGTGAAGCAGCCATTCAAATAAAACTGTGGTGGGGTAGAAAATATAAGTAATCCAAATTTGCTTTGCCCAAACATTATGAAAGTGTTCCCTTATGTTCACTTTATTTAAAATAAAAGCCAATCAATATGACAGCCCAGTTCTTCTCTTATTTGCTCACCTGTCATAGAAGTCATCTCTGTAGTAATCATAGTCAAAGTCATAGCCACTGCTTTCAAAAATAAAATAACAGGATTAGTACTATGCATTCTATAAATTTTCTTTGTAGCAACTTTTGTGAAATAGCAGAAATCAGTCTCACAGATCTGGAAGGAAACCAGGAGTTCTGGATATATATATACACACAGAAACAAAACTATATCATAAAGGATTCAGATTTACTGTTGTGTTTGTTTTAGAACACAACAAGGCATTCAGTATCTGCAGAAAATCATGTAATCAAAAACAACCAACCAATGGATTTTCATTATGACACAGGTTCTTATCGATGTTACAATGATATGTAGAATCTCAACTGGCAAGACTTCACCTGGCTCACATACAATACAAAACATACAAATTGTACAAATATATACAATCTGCACATTTTTGACACTATGTGATAGGTGAACCATAATGCTTATTCACAATCCATGGATTTATGTTTATTATTTGGATACTAAATGATAAATGGGTAGCAGATGAGAATTCTGATCTATCCAAAAAAATGGTAGATCAGGACATCACAGGTTCTGTTTTAAAATTGTACCCAGTTAGATTGGCCCAGACTCAAAAGAACTACAAAAGCACTGAACTCTGGACAGTAGATTTTTATATTTCCCTATAAGTGTTACAAGTGCAAATACATACAAGTTGAACATCCAACAATTGAAAGAAGTTGTGTTTGACAAGGTAGTATAGAGTCGCCAAGAGTTCAATACCACTAAATAGTTAAAACAACAAGAGTCGGGAAAATGTGGTGGCAGAGTTTCCAAAACACAACTCCCACACCTGTTTTTTTCCAAGTTTGCAGCTTTATTGGCAATGCTGCCCTGCTGAGGCTATACAGAGCCTTAGGAGGGGAGGAAGGCAGCACAGGTTCCTGTAATTTTTCTAAGCAGCTTGCTCTTCCACCATTGTGTGTTTGTGTATTTTAGCAATAGCACTTGTCAAGAATTGCTTCAGATGCTATAACTACTGTGTCAGTGCCAGTGGGTAACTTAATAGCCCACCATTTCTTTTTCTCTTCCAAGAGGGATATTTTATACACAGTAATGAAAGTATATTATTGCAACCCTTCCTAAAAGAAAACTTTAAACAGAAATCCAGCTGGCAAATCATAGAAATTGAAAGCTCTGACATTTTCTAGTAAAAAGAAGTGTAGTTAGCAATACATTTGTTGGAAAGGTCAGCTTAAAAGTGAAGATTTTAATTTTGGCTTGACATCTTTGACTTAGAGACACATATGTGACATTTCAGGACAATAAAACCCAAAAGAGACTTAAAGCCCAGTATCTCCATCAAAGAAAACACTCTATAGTCGATATGTGCAGAGAGTCTTCTGTATAAGGCTGGGTTGGATAAAGGAGGTCTCAGTTGGTGACTTAAGTGCATTGGGTTCATATGTTTTTCCATTATAATGTGGTTTGTTTGGTTTTGGCTTTGGGTATTTATCAAATTCAGTCTACTCTTATTTCTTCTATAAACCATAGGCATGGATACCCAATCATTAACTTCTTACCAGTGGATGGCTATGACGATAAAATAGGATAGTCTCACCTTATATCCTGATCTTCTCAGATGGAAGAAATAATATTATTGGTAGATAGACACAATTACCCTAATAATTAAATTCTATTTCAATGGACCCTAGCAGCAAATTTTTGGGATCTGCAAATGGCTTGAGTCTTCATATGAAATTCTGATTTATATCACCTGTTCGTTTATTTTTTCAATCAAGGGCTTGAGGAAAAATGCTGATTTTATTCTGAATACATCAGAGATCCCACCCTGCAATTTCTTTTTGTTCTTTCCAGTTCAATATTGACTTCATTGAACTGCAGGAGTTTCTAAGATTTCAGATAGGGGATTTTCTCAGCCTGTATTGAAATTAGAGGCTGTCCTATGTTCCATGTTCTCTGTGGTTTCTGCACAGACTGCTCGGTCTCATTCCTGTTTCTTGCTGGTTTTTATGAATTTCACATCCTAGAATGCCATAAAATGAGATTGTATATATTTTGAAGATCTGATTTTCTTTATTAATTTGTAACAAACATTTGCAGCCTGTTTATTTAAACATACAATTTGCATAGCATATTTTCCCATAATGTAACTTACTTCAAGTTGTGGTTAGATTATAAAGTAAGGAAAAAATGATTTAGCCTTGTTCTTCCAGCATTATTTTTATTGTGAAAAAAGCTATCCCCCCCCAGAGCCCCAAATTGGGACCTATTCAAACAAGCAATTTCCATTTCATAGACTGTTAAAAATAATAGTGCACAATCTTTCTCGGATTGAGCTCAGTTCCTGATGGTTCCTGATGGATACACAAGTGATTTGCTGCTGCCTTTTCCCAGGAAGCTGGGTTTTTTTTGCCTACCCTACAACCCATCCCATCCAACTATTAACTAAGTGTGATCTTGGTTAGCTGTTCTGAGATCAACCACTTTCAGCTACATGTTGTAAACTGGCATACATTCTACTGATTTTATTCTAGATTCTAATCTAATCTAATGAATAGAAATTGAAAGTAACTCCTGGAAAAAACTGTTCAAATGATATACAAAGTTGCATCCATGTTGGTTGTAATTGTATTTTATATGTTATTGTGTACCTGCATGCGCACACACATAATCAGTGGTCAAGGTCACACAACATGCTTAACAAGGTCAGTTAAAGATGTAGCAACTACATTTGCATAAAATGGTAATCGCTTTATTGTTAACTTTGTTTAGATTTTTTTTGCTCTGCAAAACGGCATGGTGTCCTGTGTAAAGATAATCCTCTTTTTTCATTAGTTACTATACACAATGGCTAAGTTCATGAATAAAACTAAACTAGAACATTTAATAATAATAATAGCTTGTGAACAAATCATGCAGATTTAGTTGATTTAATTCAGTAACCCCGGCTTCACTGTGTTTTTGTGTTAACACAGCTTCTGTATTATAAAAAGTCAAGGGAAGAAACGGGGCACATTTAAAAGCCCTGAGCAAATCAAACCACTTCTCCTCCACATGCCAAGTCCAAATGCCAGGACCAGATAACACAGATAACATTCATATACATGGAGACATAATGTAATATAACATTTGTATGTTTCAACTCTTAGAGCTTCAACAATATAGATTGTGTGTGTTTCTGACAGGGTCTATATATCCCTTCTTGCAGCAATGCTAAGTGCCAGGATCTGGATATTTCCTAAAATTAATAACATTGTAATAGTCATATAACATACAATGGCTCATGACTTCAATTCCTGAGATGAGATTTGAGACTCTAGAAAGAGTACAGAGAAGAGCAACAAAAATGGTCAGGGGACTGGAGGCTAAAACATATAAGGAATGGTTGCTGGAATTGGGTATGTCTAGTTTAATGAAGAGAAGGACGAGGGGTGACATGATAGCAGTGTTCCAATATCTCAGGGGCTGCCACAAAGAAGAGGGAATCAAGCTATTCTCCAAAGCACCTGAAAGCAAGACAAGAAGCAAAGGGTGGAAACTAACCAAAGAGAGAAGCAACCTAGAACTAAGGAGAAATTTTCTGACAGTTAGAACAATTAATCAGTGGAACAACCTGCCTCCAGAAGCTGTGAATGCTCCAACACTGGAAGTTTTTAAGAAGAGACTGGACAGCCATTTGTCTGAAATGGTATAAGGTTTCTTGCCTGAGCAGGGGGTTGGACTAGATGACCTCCAAGGTCCCTTCCAACTCTATTATTATTATTATTATTATTATTATTATTATTATTATTATTATTATTATTATTATTATTATTATTATTATTAATCATTGCACAGTCAGCCAGATGTTCAGACTGGATTTGGCATTTTTGTCTACCTATCAAGTCCTTACCAAAGACCTGGGATAGGCAGATGTGGATGTTTGATGGTATTACAGATATTGTCGCAGGATGGAAGCAGTTCCTAGTAAGGCTGCCTTTTGCAATTGACTAATGGCGAATTTGTCAATGCCAATGGTGTTCAAGTGGTGCTCCAGTTGTTTTGGGATTGCACCCAAGGCGCTTATTACTATTGGTACTACCCTTGCTTGCCTTTGCCACAGTCTTTCTATTTCTATTTGTAGGTCTTTGTATTTTGTTATCTTCTCCAGTTCTTTCTCATCTATTCTTCTGTCTCCAGGCACTACCACAGACTTTTTTGTCTTTCTTATTGACAATTGTTAAATCCGGGATGTTATGTTGCAGGTACTTGTCTGTTTGAATTCTGAAGTCCCAGAGCAGTTTAATTTTATCATTTTCTATGACTTTCTCTATTTTGTGATCCCACCAGTTCTTGCTTATAGACAAATGATATTTCTTGCAGATCCTCCAATGCACCATTGTTGCTACTTTGTCATGCCGCTGCTTGCAGTCAGTCTGTGTGATCTTCTTGCAGCAGCTTACCAGGTGGTCCACTGTTTCGTCAGCTTCTTTGCATAGGCGGCACTTACTGTCTGTTGCTGTCTTCTCATTTTTGACTTTATATGCATTTGTCCTTAAGGCTTGGTCTTGTGCAGCCAGAATTAGTCCCTCGGTCTCTTTCTTCAATTTTCCTGCTCTTAGCCATTGCCAGGTCTTGTTATTATCTGCTTTCCCAGCTATTTTTTAAAATGTACTGGCCATGTAGGGCTTTGCCTTCCCAGGCCTCTATTCTGTTCTTCATTTGGTCTTTCTTGTAGGCCAATTTGGTCTCTCCAGTAGTCAGTAAGCCTTCCTGATATACTAATTTCAGTGCATCTTCATCATTGTCCTTCAGATATTCTTCCAAAGCCATTTTTTCTTCTTCAACCATCTGATGTACTTGCAGCATTCCACGCCCATCTATTTGCCTTGGTAGATAGAGTATATCAATGTCACTGCATGGATGAAGGGCATGATTCATTGTCATTATTTTTCTGGTCTTCCTATCCATTGCTTTTAGTTCTGCTTGAGTCCAGTCCACTATTCCAGCTGTTGATTGCCTTCATGGTATTTCCTCCATTGAGTTTGGACTTTAAGATCTTCTTCAC